TTGTTTAGCCTGGAGAAGAGGAGGCTGAGGGGAGACCTTATTGCTCTCTACAACTACCTGAAAGGAGGTTGTAGAGAGGTGGGGGTCGGTCTCTTCTCCCTAGTAACAAGTGATAGGACGAGAGGAAATGGCTTCAAGCTGCGCCAGGGGAAGTTTAGGTTGGATATTAGGAAAAACTTCTTCACTGAGAGGGTGGTCAAGCATTGGAACAGGCTGCCCAGGGAAGTGGTTGAGTCTCCATCCCTGGATGTGTTTAAAGAACGGATAGATGCGGTGCTCGAGGACATGGTATAGTGATGACTTGTCAGTGATAGGTTAACGGTTGGACTCGATGATCTTAAGGGTCTTTTCCAACCTTAACGATTCTATGATTCTATGATTTTTTGGAGGGTGGGAGAGAAGAAGAGTAATGAGAGGCCTAGAACTTGACTTCAGAGAGTACCTGGTGTTTGCACACTCAAAGCCCCAGAGCTCTTGCTGATTCCAAGTACAAGTAAGCAAGCTGTTCAGCAGAACACTCACATTGATCACTGGATTTTTCTGGTGCTCCTCTCTATAAAATGGGTCATTTTATAACACTCAGCTTGCCTAGTATCACATATGAATGAACTCCCTAGGTGAGAAAGAACTGAATTCAATTCCCAAAGGCAGTATTGAGCTGTCTAAATTATAATACTTCCTGAAGTACATTCATTCACTGTCCATCATTTCAACAATCAGGACTGATTTTTCGCTACACAGCCCTGACACTAAAACATGCCCAGCCTGTGCAGGAAGACAAAAGTCTCACAGAAAACAAAGGTAGATGAGAGGTAGAGAGTGATTATAAGCTGTATAATGATCAGTGTGCATGTGTATGGAAATGAAGATTGTACAGGCAAGTCTACAACTCTGACACCTCCTAAATTTCTCTATTCAGCTTCAAATGGATACAACTACTTTAGAAGAAAAGCAATTCCCAGGTTTCCAAAAAACATTTGCAAATTAAATTCTCATACGCCCATCAAATGGATAGAAACACTCAGCTCTACAACCTCCTCTGCATTTTGAACTGATGGAGCATCCATTGACAGAGGAAGCTTGTTAAACTCTGTGAACCAGCATCAGAGAGAAAATGAGTTGACTGAGTGGGTTTCATGGAGACTTCAGCAGCACAGATCTGCTGAAGTTCTGTAGTCTCAGGAGTCTAGTCCACTGGCTGGAAAAGGGAGAAGTATGTCCTCGTTATGGCTGCTAACATTTCTATAGGCAAAACTCAAAAGTGCCACTATGCAGTCTGATGAGTTAGTGAGGTTTTTTTTCATAGCTCAAAGTTGTATTAGAGCATGAACAGTTAATATGGTGCACGTTGCGTTTGAATAGTGAATGAGATGAGTGGATTAAGCCAAGCAAGAGAATAATCAAAAGTTCACTTATTGGCTAAGTTGAATCATCAGTGAATAGAGAGTATGATGAACTGAAGCAGTCAAGCCTAAACCAGTGCTGCCCTTCACACCTCTGAAGAGCACTGACCTTACCTGTGCATGTTCCTCAGCAGTACGAATCACTGCTGTCATGGGCATCCATCTTTTCAGGTCATTTTCCATAAGTCTAATCCTTTCTCTGTCATCCTTCCATTTTGTCCTAGTTCTGCTTCTTCCTGATCTATCTCCTGGGTCTTTTTTTCTTTCCGTGTTGCCATACTTAATTTTCTACTTTGTATTCCCACCTGGGGTGCGGTCTACTTGTACAGCATACCCCGAACAAGTTTTCCCCAGTCCCTTATTTGACTATCCCCAGCTCCACCTGACCACCTATCCACCTGCATCTTCTCATTCTGCCAGTACAAACTGCCCTTCTTTTCAACGTTTGTTTCAATTAGTTTCTCCAAACGGGTCTCCAGACCGTCCGAATCACTTTGCTAGCAGGACTTCCACTCCCAATCTTTCACAGATTTCTTGCACAATCTCAGTGTATGATCCACATGCAATATGCTTCTTTTTCGCCCTCATCCTTTTATCATCTCCTATCCCACTTACTCTGTCCAGGTGTTCACCGTTATTATGTCAGTTTTTGGCTTTTGCCCCAGTCTCTTTCATCCTGCCACATTGTTTATAGTCGCTCTCCCCATCACATTTAATGACTACCAGATCTGTCATTTTCTTCCAAATTACTTGTTCAGTCAGTCTGCCCCCCGCCCCCAGCTCTATGTATCAGTCTACCCCCATATCTCCTCAAGAGTTCACATTATTTTCTGCATTTAGCTCAGACAGCTTTCCTTCTGTTACCTACCAGACGAGGAGGAGAACACTCAGAATATAAGGAACAACTGAATAATGCAACAATACAAAGCTGCATTACAGGAGAAATTCTGCTGAATCCCAGAGAGCTCACGCCCATGTAAGGGATCAAATTTATTAAATTCTAAGTTTGCAAGTTGCTCAGTAGAATCTTAAGGATCAAAACTAGGCCAAATTTAAGCAGATTTATACAGGAACAGACAAGTATATTCCAATACAAGGAAACCCTTCTGGCAAATTACAAATCACTCCTCGTAAGGGCAGTACCTATTTTAGTTTCTTTTCTTCCAAGTAATCACCATTTTTTGCCCCCTTTTTTTTTTTTTTTCTAGTCTTCAACAAAAATGAAGCAAGCAATTAGCATAGCACATTTCTATTCTGCTATTAAAGGTTGGTGCATTTGTCAACATCTGAAAAGAAGGCCTACTAATGGGAAGCATCAAGTCACTGGCACTCAGATAAAATTACATTACATTCACGATTTTAATAAAGGCAGTAACTAGCACGTTCCCCGTCTGCAGCTTTAGCAAATAGACATAAAAATTATCATCCATTACATCCTGGAATAACTTTTGCATAAATGCTTTTTGAGTTTCTTTCATTTAATTTGTGCTCTTGACTGCCTTCCAAGTCAAAACGCGTCATCCTTCTTACTCTTTCTAAATTCACTTTGTACCTTTTCACTAGTGTCTGTAGGATCCTCACACGAGTACTTAAAGATGGTTAAACTTGCTTGTGCTAACATTCAAGTATCTATTTGTATCTTGCTTTATCTTTTGGACAGTTAGTTGAAAGCATTACCTAAAATTAAGCTCTAAAATTTATAGTAGCTTTAGGAAAAACAGACACATGGCTAGCAACATTCCATATTTTTCTTACCTTTTGTTATCTTTGGAAATTGTTTCCATGTGTTAACAAGTATTAAACAGGTGTAAAAAAATACTTTGAGATTTCAGTCAATTTCTAAGATCACCATACTTAAAGAAATCCATGACAACTGCTTGATTTTGAGTTACACAACTTCTGTGTACAACAGCATCTTATAAATTTTTACACTGATTTCAAAATCAATGCTTTACTGTCAAAAGGTGCTGATACTACACCAGTAAATTCTGTGCCAAGATCTTCTCTATAATATCAGCCATTTCTCAAAACAAATTGCAATTTATTGATTGAAAAAAAAAGTTACCCATTTACAGGTACTGGTAAGACAACAGCAAAAACAAAATGAAGAACATTTCACATTAAATAATTTTGATCTTAATTTGCAGAGTACATAACCTTTACATTTATGCCACTTAAAAAGTATATTGGAGTTCTAATAGTTGTAACCTTTGAAGCTAAAATAACACCCAGAAATGCTTATTTTTCTGAATATGTGCTGATCAACAAATGCTATTGTATGAAATGAAATAATGCTACATCAACTAATTGGTATTTGTCACACAATACTACTCAGTAACCATACATAAACTATTACATACTTAGAACAATCTCTTTCTTTTCTGGTACATTTTTAAAAGGTTGGGCAACAGGGGAAAAAAGTATTCTGAAAATATCTTCAATTTCTATCAGTTTTGGAGTTTTACATATGAAAAGTTTATGCAACATAAAGTTCAAGGTAACTTGAAATAAAACTTCTGTTGATGTTGCTTTAAGAATATTTTTTAAAAATGCAGAAAATAACATGTGAATGTTTTTATTAAGAACAGTGTGATGGCAAAGGAGTAAATTAATTTTAAAAGAAAGCTTCCAGAGATTAATTTTTCAGGTGTGCCTAAGGACTCAATCTTACCCTCTCCAAACACCGCAGGTGATTTATAATGGGCACAGTAAAGGACCAGGAAGGAGCGAAATCTGAAACTGTGCTACTGAGACATAGTCCATCTCCAAAATCTCCATATTAAAAAAAAAAAACACCCAAACAATAAATCAACAGCAAAAATTATCATATTGGACAAAAGTTATTTCTACGGTACCTTCAGGGGCGATAGCACTAGGACACACATCTTTTAGTAGATCTCCCAAAGTATGCAACTGTCCTCCTGAAGCAATTGGTCGAAATAGCTTCTGTATAAAAGGTCTCTCTGTTGTTGCCTGTTTTAATAACAAAATTAGCAAAAACAACAATTTAAGGACCATGCAAGTACATAGTATTATTATTTGAGACAGGCAGAAGACAGGACAGAACAAGAGGTTGCAGCAGAAGAAACATCTGGCATTTCCATTCCCCCCCCCCCCTTGCATTCCATTCATATCACGAAATGCAGGACAGTTTTTGTTTGTTAACAACTGAAAGTAAGTTGACACTCCAGAAAACTGTGAAAATAATCTATAAACAGTGTCATGGATATAAAAGTGTTAAAATATTTTCTTTTTCTTTAGAAAAAACAAAAACAAACTTCTGTTACGGGAATAGGATCTGCCTGAACAAAACATTTCAATATATTCTTAATTTAAGTAAAACAAGCAGTGAGCACAAACTTTGGAGCTCAACATATGCCTGTATGTTTTGCCAAGTCAAACCAATACTGTAACAAACATCCAATACTTTCTGCAATAGTCTGTCTTCCTCCTTTTAGAAACACATTAAGCACTTTCAATGGCAAACAAGTACCATTATAGCTCAAGCCCAGTGAATTTTTTTTCCAGTAGATTTTAAGTTGAAAAATTCAAACTATTTCAGCCACAAGAAACTGAGCACAATTAAAAAAAAAAAAAAGTGCTTCGCTTTGACAGACAACCTAGAGTCTTCTGCCTACTTAAGGAATTAGTCAGATGTAAAGAACATATATGCCCCACTTCTGCTGCAGATATGCACAGGAATTCAGAATGATTTCAACTATGGGTCCTGTTAGATCTTGCACATCATCCTAATTTCTTTTGGAGACAAAAAAAGCAAATCGACTGGCAGTAACTACTGCCAGTCACTGTCCACAATATAGGCAATAAAACTCCCAATGCTGCAGAAGCAGCAAAGTAGCTTATGTGATCTACAGATGGACTTATTGAAGAATTGTGGTGATGCTAAGGTAATCCCCTTCTTTGAGTATCTGTATAAGCAACCCCAGGGGCAGCAAGCATCTGATATTGAAAGGATAGGAAAAGGTTTTTTTCCTGACAACCTGACCTCTCCCCCTAAACTGGGCACCTGAGCGAGAAAACAGAAGTTAAAAACCTCTTATTCAATGAACCCAAAAATTTTAACCAAGCTCTAAATTTTTGCTGACAAATTTCTGCTAGCAGCTAACTCCAGAAAGCAGCTGATGTGGCCTGCATTATGGGTGACTGGGTTCCAGTAAACTACACTTTCATCACATACTATCTTAACTGGCAAAAAGCAATACAAGCCACTGCCCCTTCCAAATTTAGTTTCCTACCACTCAGAAAGTGGTTCCTGTCCTACTATGGTAATTAAACAGAAACAAAGCAACACAACTCAACATCAAGAAGTATATTATCTCCTGGTGGAGGTTTTTGTGGAAAAAACAAACCAACAAAACCAAGTATAGTAAAAAATTTGAAAGTTAGAAATTAATTTTGAAAGGAAGTTACGATGTGGTCTCTGTCACCTACCTACATGAAAAGCCACAAGCAGTAGATTAACCATGACAACTTAATTGTCATTCACCTCTGAAACAGCAGGGCAAGGAGTCTTTTCGTAAGAGTGGTACACTACCTCAAAGTAATTCCAGGGCAGTACAGTGCAGAACTGTTGACACACAGCTACTTGTTACTTCTTGCCAACAGTCTCCAAAAATGGAAAAATTCTCTTTTTCCAGTTATTCTTATGAAGACTGATCAGAAGAAGCTAACTAGCTGCTCTAGTCAATTCTCTATGTCCTCAGGGTAGCAGAACTTGGACACAAACAGTGCTAATGAAATGTCTGAACATTTGAAAAATGATGGGAGGCACACAGCCAGCAGGATCCACCTCAGACAGATCCACACTTGAGAAGTGAACTCTGGCACATTACACGGAAGAAGTGTAACTCCAAAACATGAAAAAAAAACCCAACCAAACGACAAACCCCCTAAAACATTGTTATAGCCAAAACAATTTTCTATTGAGTATGTTTTAAAAAAATAATCAATTATTCACAGAAGTCAAATCACAGCTCCCAAGTGCTTACCATCTGAAGTAGCAGAAGTGGAAATAAACACCAGGAGGAGGATGCAGGCAAAGGTGGTTATCATCAATAGACTTTTAAGATAAGAATTTCTCAAGTGCATACTGCAGGTTCTCATTATTTATCATTTCTTTTCCTAGTTATCATAATTTAATGCCAAGAGGGAAAAGCCAAAGATGTATTTTCTAAAATCTCCCACAGAGTTGCTGACTGCTGCAAAGCAATATCCTCAGCTGCTATCATGAAACATTACAGAAAATGAAATCAATTTTATATTTTAAGTGTTCAGCAATACAGATGTGGTAATGTAAATAAAAATCACTGGTCTCCATCAACGTTAAAATGATAAAAGTAACTGCACATTGTTTATACAAAGATTGTGGTTCGCAAATATAATCCCACAGGCAGAGTATTACCCCAACATGCTTACACTTCTTCCCTCCCATGCGGCTGATGCTTTATGCATTAAAAGAGTCAAAAGAAAAGTCCCATCCTACAATCTAGAATGTTTATAGGATAACTTTTCAAAGTATCTTAGTCATATAGGAGCAGAAATCACTTCAAAAAAATCTTACCATCACCCCTTTTGAAGTGTGGTAGCTAGTAATATAAGCCCAACTTGACTACAGCTTTCTGCTCTAGTATTTACTACAACAACACATGAAGGAATAGCCAACATAAGTAACTGCTTACATCATGTTGCATTTTGTACAATATTTGCTTAACCAATCATGCAAAACAGTACTATCTGTAATCTAACCCACAAAGACATCACTGAATAACTGTTAACTGACAATGATTTTAAATAATCTACATCAGGCCTAAAGCACGTATTCGTACAGTATCCATTGTTTTTTTCCTACTAAGATTACCATAGCTTCAACAGAATATAGCACTTCTTAAATTATTGCATTTTACAGTCTAGCCCCAACGTAGCTGTGAGCTGTTCAAAAGATGCTAGATGCATTTGCGGGATACACCAGGTCAGAGTCAATCAGTAACTGCTGATGACAGATCTACAAAGAAAATGCCTTCCAGTCTATAAGCGTATTAAGACAATCACCTGGCCCAGAGTTTCCAGTGCATTTTACACTAATCACGTCCACAATTTAGTATCAAATCATCACATTTTTACGAAAGCAAACATTCAATTCTAAGTTAATGTATTTTCTAGAAAGTTGGACTTATTTATTGCAACTGAAATTTCCCATTCTTCTATACTACTACATAGGAGCACAAATCTTGGGCTTTGCAGAACAAATGAAGACTTCACTCTTTCTAAAGAAAGTTTAAACAATAACAGTGATAAGAAAGTGACAGTGAAAACAAAGTTGTACTACAGTGAGAAAAAATAGATTAAAATTACCTATTCAGGCATACTGGCATTGAGAAGAGTTATAGGTGAGGGAAAGTTTTAAGAGGCCCTTTAAGGCAGCATAAAGCCTCACAGGATCAGAGACAAGCTATATAGTTACATACTGTGCTAGCAATTATAACTCTTTTTCTTCCCCATCATCCTGCCAAAAAAAGGAGTAGTCAGCTTGCCTGGTCCTTTTCAGAATCAACAGAACATCAAACACTGTGTGAAATCCACAATTTAATTAGTCAGGTATTTTGTACAGGATGCATCTTAAAATGAAAAACATAACTCATGAACTGCTGGGTTTTAATCTGGAAAAATCACAGAGTCACCAGTATTTCCATCTAGAGCAAAGGATTTGGATTTTCTGCCTAAACGCTCTGCTGCTACTCTAACATTATTCAAACAAATAAAGTTACCATACATATTGAACCCACAAAGTAAAAAAAGAATTCCTTACAATTCCCACATGTGCATAAGCTGGCAGCCTAAAACCATAAAACTTGAGACGACCCTACGTATTCCATCATGTTTTCAGTAATTTGTCAAGTTTTGTCTGTGCTGTTTTGTAATGGACCACTTTACGCTTAAAAAACCTCTCATAATTTAAATTTATCATTTTGTTTAAACTGATTTAAACTCAACCAAGAAACTTTAAAAGTAATAATAAGAGTTTGCATAATAATGTAAGTTATTTTATATAAAAAGGAAAGCACAGGAAAATTTACTACTCCCAGAAAATAAAATTAATTATATGATTTTTGTTATTTACTCGAAAGTACATTTTCCGTAGATTTTCTAAGATGTCTTCTGCTTTGTAGAAGTGCTTTCAATTAAAAACTTCAATGCACAATGAAAAAGCAACTGATTGAAAAGACGACAAACTGCTGTAGTCACAGAACCATCACAATACCATGTCTGTCTGAAAGCAAGATACTGCAAAGCCCCATCTGAAATACTGCTCTTTCACTGGTGCTGAAATGCAGTTTTCCTGCTGGTATTTCTGGGTGTGTATCTTTGGCTTCTTTTTGCTTAATATTAGACCAGAATCAGAGAGTACTTCATTGTGGAAAAGGCACAAGCAATGTTTCCGTTTTAGGTGTTTTTTGTTTTTTTTTTTTTGTTTTTGTTTTTTTTTAAGAAAAAGTTTAAGTTTCATTTAAGAAATGTTTTTTAAGAAAAAAAAAAAAAAAGACTCCACTCAGTGCAAACTAGACAGGCAGGTTGTCAGACTGAAAGATTAAACAGAAGTGGCAGCTAAGACTGAAAATCACCAATAAGCTCAGGTAAGAAAGAATTTGTGCTAGAATGGGAAAGAACTATTTCTGGGTGTAGAAAAAGCAAGTTCTGAGGACCTAGCCTAAGGTGGCCCTCCTGAACTTGCCCTACTTCTTGTCCCAAGTTTTACGATTTTAATAATGTTATCTACAGTTGCTTCAACTGCTGCATATTTTGACTTTCATTCAGAAAGTAGTCACATATTAAGAGGGGTTACTTGGCTCTTAAGCTCATTTCATATATCCTGATACCTGCCAACAGAAACATTTGACTGGCTTCTGGGAAAAAAATGACCAATGAATAAAAAAATACCATATCAGAGAGAACTT